ATCATGAGTAACTGGTATCTCCAGTTTCAATCTGACCCCTGTACTTTTTTACCTTTCCCCATTACATATCTGTATGTCCTTCTACAATGAGAACCCTGCTTCCAATAACATTAACACATTTACTCATTTGCTGAATCATATAATATATCTAGAGTAGTTTCAGAACTGCCTCGCCCATACCACTACAGAAAACAAACATACTACAAACAGTTCAGGATGTGTTTGCAGTTCTTTTCCTTCTTGAAAGTAAGGGTACATAGGCACATACCACTTTCTTTTCTTTCCCCATTCAGTGTGGTTATGTTATTAGTCTGAAATAAAGTTGGGTTTATTTGTTGCAGTTTGCTTTCATTTCCTTCTTTTTTTCCCTTTCACATCCATGTTGATTTAATTTTTTGAATATACAGAACATTAGCATGCTTTCAAACTTATTGAGAAGTATATACTCAGACGAGTACCACTCCCTTCCTACTTCTAAGATCTCTGCCCTCTTCTTTCAAACATAACATAAGATTGTACATAACATAGGATTTTATGAAATGAAGGGTAAACACAATCCAAGCAAGACTTTGATGTTCATCAGCTGTTTCCTATCCACAGGAATTTCTTACTGGTATGTTGGTTCCTTTGCCCTGTATCACTGTATGTTCTGCTGGGCCTGTCTCTATAGACCAGTGTGGTTTTCGAAATGTGGTCTACAAGATGACTTCAGCAGGTACAAAAGACAGCCTGTTACATTTTTAAGATATATCTATTTTATGTATGTTTGAACACAAAATACAACTAGTGTATTTAGTCAGTGATTTCATGGGGTTTTTTGGGGGGAGGTAAAGTAAAAAGTGAATATTGAAGAAAAAAGCAAGCCAAATTAAAGGAAAATATTAGGAATATAATACTACAAAGTGTGACCAAAATTGCAAAGCTGGCACTTGAATGACTGAAGTTGAGAACTCTGCTCTAGCTCCTCTTTCCTGAGTCTGTGTCCAGGGTTCTTACTCTATCCCAGAAACCCAGTAGAACAGATGAAATCCATCTCTTACCTAAACCCATCATCTACCTGATACCTGAAAGGGAATCTTGCCTTTTTTTCTTTTAACTGAATGGATTCCTTTTTTTTTTTTTTTTTGCGGTACGCGGGCCTCTCACTGTTGTGGCCTCTCCCGTTGCGGAGCACAGGCTCCGGACGTGCAGGCTCAGCAGCGATGGCTCACGGGGCCAGCTGCTCCGCGGCATGTGGGATCCTCCCGGACCTGGGCACGAACCCGTGTCCCCTGCATCAGCAGGCGGACTCCCAACCACTGCACCACCAGGGAAGCCCCATATTTTTTTAAATAAAGGAATAGGAAACCTGCTATCGTCATAGGGCAATTAGTTCAATGGCAGGTGGCTTTAAATTTTTTTAAGTTTGGGAAATTGTACTGTTACTTACACAGTCTTTAAATCCGTATACAATTGATCATTATGATCTACTTGAATTCAAATTTTTTTTGACTGTTTTAATTAAATCTAATATTGTTTAATATTAAGTAAAACACCATGTAAATATGGTGTTTTACTTAATACTCATTGAGTACACCACTGTCAATTGTTTATTATTGTATTAGGACTTATTAAACCTATACATATATTAGATTAAAAGTTTTTGTTATTAAGTTAATTTTTTTTAATTTATTTATTTATCTTTGGCTGCTTTGGGTCTTCATTGCTGCGCGCGGGCTTTCTCTAGTTGCAGCGAGCAGGGGCTACTCTTCGTTGCAGTGCGTGGGCTTCTCCTTGTGGTGGCTTCTCTTGTTGAGGAGTACAGGCTCTAGGCTTGCGAGCTTCAGTAGTTGTGGCTCGTGGGCTCTGGAGCACAGGCTCAGTAGTTGTGGTACACGGACTTAGTTGCTCCGCGGCATGTTGGATCTTCCCGGACCAGGGATCGAACCCATGTCCCCTGCATTGGCAGGTGGATTCTTAACCACTTGGCCACCAGGGAAGTCCCTAAGTTAATTTTTAAATGTAAATTAGACCCTAAAATTTTAACACTTGAGTATGTACTTAAATTTGCTCCATTTACTAGATGGAAATTTATTTTGCTATGAGAAGTAGGATTGTCTTTACAACTCTTGTATGAAAGCATATTAGAATGAGCAAGTGTACAATTTGTGCATAATTTCTTACTCAGTGGGAGGCATAAGTTTTATTCCCAATTCATAAAAATTGTACAGAATGGAGTAGTCTTAAAACAATTTATTTGGAGGGAAAAGCCCATATCTGATTACCAAGAGTTTATTCAATAAGTTAATGGCCTTATTTTATATTGCTAAAGATGTGTACATGCATTTCATAAACCTTTGATGTCATCTATTTGTAAACAAAGGTTTTTTTCTGCAATTATCTGTGACTAACTCATGAATTACTCTTCCTGTCTTTCCATATACACAAAAATAGGTATGAATTTTGATTCTTAAAACTCTTAGGATACAAAGGAAGTTTATAAACTTGAGGGTAGGAATAAAAAGTTAATTTTTATGTCTCAGACATATAGATATACTTACTTATATATGCATTTAGTGGTGCTGCTGGAAATGGTAGACCTCTCTGTTCTCTCCCTATGCACTAAATTTCATTGACATACACTTAAAAGCTTATAGAACACACATGTACTTTCAGAAGGCCATCTGTTAGCATTTCGTATTTTAGATGATAGTTTTCTTTTCTGTACTTGTTATTGCTAAAAAGATATACTTACATCCTGGTATTTAGATAAGGAATATATGAAGACACAGATATTTTGACTCTTTCAAACATTTTGAAAATTGTAATGTAAACATACTTTAGTAAATTTAGTCTATGCTAAATTTATGGTAACTTGTTATTATGATGTGTTTATATATTTGGATATAAATAGCATTTTAGTAAAAATATATGTGTATATGTTGAGCCTCTGCTATGAGAGTAATGCAGCTGTCATTGTTAGAGGCTCCTTTTACCCTAATTCTTGTCCCTACAACCTGGGGACTTTACTACTAATCCCTTGTCCTCCTGTGTATTTATTGGATAAGATAAGCAAAAGGTAGCTCCTCTTTATAAAACTTGGAAAACCTCTGTATTAGGATTAAATCAGCCCAGTTAAATGAGTCCATAATAAAATGCAGAGATTCCCTGAGCTCATCTCAGAGTTATTAGCCATTAATGGCTTGTCTAGGAAATTCTAGCCTTTCACTTACTATTACTAAGGCAGAGGAAATAAAACTAGCCACTCAGTATTCTTAGGCTACCCTTATGTGTCTCCCTTTCTCCTGCACAGTCACTCCTAGAAATTTCCTTGTCTTCAACTGAAGGATTTTTTTTTTGCCGTACCTTCCTTGTGGCATGCGGGATCTTAATTCCACACCAGGGATGGAACCCATGCCCCCTGCATTGGGAGCGCAGAGTCTTAATCACTGGACTGCCAGGGAATTCCCGAAGGAATTTTTTAATGTAGAATTTCAGGTAGTTTAGGAGAGAGATTTGCAGTCAACAAAGTCAATTTCTTGAATTATGTGACCCAGTCTATTTGGCATAGTGTAAGGTTGGCCTAGGAGTGGGAAGAGAAAGTGGTATTTTGCAAGGCCCAGATTTCTCTCCCTGACTGTTCTGACCATTGTTAAGCCATACTTCTCCTCTCATCATTACCTACCAATACCTTCTCTGTTTTAGCCTGCATTCCCTGGAGTAGGCAGGCACATTTTTTAACTGTTGGGAAATAGAAACTTACCTGGTTTCCTCAGGATCAAAGTTTCAATGACAAAGTAATATGTTTTGAAATCACCATTTTGACAAAGCTGCTGCTGCTTTGAAAGGTTATAATCAAGGCTCTTTTTTCTAATTGATATATAGTTGTTTTACAATATTGTGTTAGTTTCAGGTGTACAGCAAAGTGTTTCAGTTTTATACATATACATATATATATATATATATATACTTTTCAGATTGTTTTCCATTATAGCTTATCATAAGATATTGAATATAATTCCCTGTGCTATACAGTAAATCCTTGTTGATTATCTATTTTATGTATAGTAGTTTGTACCTATTAATCCCATATTCCTAATTAATCCTTCCTTTTCCTCCCTTTCCCCTTTGGTAACCATAAGTTTGTTTTCTATGTCTGTGAGTCTTTCTGTTTTGAAAATAAGTTCATTTGTATTAGTTTTTAGATTCCACAAATTAGTGATATCATATGGTATTTGTCTTTCTCTTTCTGACTTACTTCACTTAGTATGATAATCTCTAGGTCCATCCAAGTTGCTGCAAAAGGCAATATTTCATTCTTTTTTGTGACCAAGTAATATTCCATAGTGTGTGTGTGTGTGTATGTATGTATATATATATATATATATATATATATATATATATATATACCACATCTCCTTTATCCATTCATCTGTAGATGGACGCTTAGGTTACTTCCATATTTGGCTATTGTAAATAGTGCTGCTGTGAACATTGTAGTATATGTATCTTTTCAAATTAGAGTTTTCATCTCTTCTGGATATATGCCCAGGAGTGGGATTGCTGGGTCGTATGATAACTCTGTTTTTAGTTTTTTAAGGAACCTCCATATTATTTTCCATAGTGGGGCCATGAATGTTGATTCCCTTAGGCAGTAGCAGCAGCCACTGGCACCTCTGATATATATACCTGCAGAGTTTGAAGGAGTTAAACATTCTGTTGTTTATTAAAATGTTTTTTATTGGCCTGCAAATTAATTGGTTTCTCTTTTTCTGTACACAGAATCTAGACTTATTCTACCAAAATTAATTTTGCATACTATGTAGGAAATTTAAAATTTCTGAAGTAGTTTAGAAACTGCTTTTTCTAATATACCTAATTCTAAATGGAATCTATTCTTTTCCCTGTTAATTCTCTTATCATAGGAGGAGGTATGTAATATCTAAAGAGAAGATATTTCATGTAGTAACTACTGTGTCATGGGTTCATTTAAAAATGTAATAATCACTTTTGTCTTACAGGACAAACTATTCGAGAGAAAAGAATTGTAGAATCAGCAAATAAAAGAGAAATAGACTATGAAGTAGGGGATATCCCAACAGAATGGGAAGGTAAGTTTCTGCTTTTAGTAGTGTCTTTTGGAAGGCAAATAGTTTATACACAAAATCAATAAGAACATAACATTATTTCATGTTCTTTGCAAAAACTTTTACAATCTGAATCCATGAAACTTTTTTTAAACTTTGCATTTCTTTGAAAGTTGTGAAGGTGCTACATTTTAGTAAGGGAACATAGTGAAAAGAACTATGAAGCATTAGTAGAGCTGGGACTAGGGTGAGGCAAGCAAAGTTTCTTAGATGCAGAATTGAAGAAGGCATTCACTTTGATATGCTGGCCCTGCACTTATACAACCTGAGGATCTGAATTCTGTTTCTGGCACTCTACCCACATGCACGTGGGAAAGTAACTCATACCTCTCAGTCTTAGCTTCCTCTTTTATAAATTGTGGATAATACTTGCTGTAGATGCCATTTGGAATATTTGTTCAACTTACAGTGACTCCATTAGTTGTCCCCATGTTTAAACAAGGATGGACACTTACTTGATCCCTGTCAGGACTTTGGAATTAAGGTAAAAAAATGAAAGGAAGAGAAAATAGTAGCAGTCTTTCCATAAAGCTGGAGTAGTATCATATGAACTTGGTAGCACATGGGTGGCTATCTTCAATCCACTATCTAAACTTTGTTGCAGAAAAAAAACTTCTTTATCTACTAAGAAGAAAATAGAAACCAGTCTGCAAAGAGAAGTACAGTTAACCCTTGAACAACACAGGTGTTTGTTTTTTGTTTTGATTTTTTTGTTTTGAACAGCACAGGTTAGAAACAGGTCCACTTATATGCAGATTTTTTTCCGTAAGTTCATACTATGGTATTACACGATCCGTGGTTGGTTGAATCTGCAGATGTGGAACTGCAGATATGGAAGTCCAACTGTTAAGTTATAGGTGGATTTTTGACTACAAGGGGGTCAGTGCCCCTAATCCCTGTGTTGTTCAAGAGTCAACCCTATGTAGCAAGGCAGAGAATATTTCCTAGGTTTTCAGCAACTTTCCAATTCCCAGTTCCATTTCTTTCTGAATGAAGTTCATCTGAAAGTCTGCCTTCAGGTTCTAAGTGCCATCCCACATCTGTGTTATAAATTTCCCCTTGTTTATTACCAGTTCTTAGCCTAGTGCCTGGCACATAGGAAAGCACATAGTAAGTGCTCAGTAAGTATATATTAAATACTTGAAATCTAGCTTGAGTTAACCCTTGTTATTTGAAACTAAAAGAACCTTAACTAAAATACCAATACTTATCTTATATATCACTTAACATTTGTCAAGTGTTTACCTGTATACCTGGTATTATGCCATTGCTTTACAATCATTATATTGTTTTAATTATCACAATAATCCTATGAGGTAGACACTGTAGTCCCATTTAATAGGGAATCTAAGTTCTAGAAAGATGAGATAAACTGCCTGGGTAATACAGCTACACACTGTAAGCAGTGGACCCTTTGCTTCCTGGTGGGTTTAGCATTATACCTAACGTATGGTAGCTATAGGCATTGAGTTATTTTTATGTCAGCATGTGAGTGTAAATATTTCCCTGGACATATCTTTTCTATTTTTCTTTATTAGCTATGAAAATAGTAGAACTATGAGAAAAGAACATTAAAATGGGTAGATACCAGGGACTTTTTGAAGAAATACAGAATATAAACTGGCAATGTCCAGGAGTAATTGAGCTTTCTTACTTTTTAAAAAAATATTTATTTATTTAATTTATTTTTTTTGGCTGTGTTGGGTGTTAGTTGCAGCATGCGGGATCTTTGTTGAGGCACGAAGTATCTTTCATTGTGGCGCAGGCTCTTCATTGTGGCCCGCAGGTTTCTCTCTAGTTGTGGCACGCATGCTCCAGGGCATGGGCTCTGTAGTTTGTAGCACACAAGCTCTCTCGTTGAGGCACGTGAGCTCAGTAGTTGTGGCACGCGCGCTTAGTTGCCCCGCAGCGTGTGGGATCTTAGTTCCCCTACCAGGCGTCGAACCCATGCCCCCTGCATTGGAAGACGGATTCTTTACCACTGGATCACCGGGGAAGTCCCTGAGCTTTTTTATTTTAACAGACTCTCCAGTGTTATAAGCGACATTTGCAATTCTCAAATAATGCTTGCACCTTCTTATAATGAACCTATTTTATCATTTTTTCCAATAGTAATATAGAATTAAAATGTTTATAGAAATAAATTAAGTTATAAATAAATAGGTAGTGACTCATTTTTAAGCGTTTGAGACTTTCAGAGAATTAGAATGAAATTCTAATGCTTTTTATGGCTCTGTCCTGATCTTAATAATTTAGCATAACCCTCCCATGGGGCACACCCTTAAAACAAATGTATCAACCAAACATTGAAACAAAAATTATTTTTATAGTGTTGCATATCAATTAAATGTAAAAAATAAGAACTCCATACCATGAAAAAGTAAAGTAAAATATAAATAAATACACAAAACACTGTATACAGGAAAGGAAAGAAAAAAACTTAAAGTGAATAGTGTCAACCCCAAGTGAATCTAAAGTATTTTCAGGTCCAGATGAATACTGTATTTGTCAGTTGTTAGTAGCAGAATACAGGTACCCACACGCTGCATTTCCTGCCATGATATGTATTAAACGGTTCACCCTTTTCATTCATTTATTTAATAAACCTCTATTGAGGACCTCTGAATTCATGGAGTTTACATTCTGGAGTGGGAGAGTGGGTGGAAGAAAGATAATAAATCAGATAAATAACTATATAGTATGTTAATGACCACAGAAAATAAAGCAGATAAAGGGAATAGGAAGTGTTGTGGAGGGTTTTACAGTTTTAAATAGTATAAAGAAATGGCCTTGTTGAGAAGATGACTTTTTTAAAAAAATAAATTTATTTATTTTATTTATTTTTATTTTTGGCTGTGTTGGGTCTTCGTTGCTGCACACAGGCTTTCTCTAGTTGCGGTGTGTGGGCTTATTGCGGTGGCTTCTCTTGTTATGGAGCATGGGCTCTAGGCACGTGGGCTTCATTAGTTGTGGTGCGCGGGCTCAGTAGTTGTGGCTCGCGGGCTCTAGAGCGCAGGCTCAGTAGTTGTGGTGCACGGGCTTAGTTGCTCCACGGCATGTGGGATCTTCCCAGACCAGGGATCGAACCCGTGTCCCCTGCATTGGCAGGCAGATTCTTAACCACTGTGCCACCAGGGAAGCCCCAAGAAGATGACTTTTGAATAAAGGTAGAAGGAGCTGGTCATGAAGATAAGTGCATTCCTGGAGAGCTAGTGCAAAAGCCCTGAAGCAGGAGCATGCTCAGGTTTTTAAGGAACAGTACGGAAGCCAGCGTGACTGGAGTAGAGCCAGAGGGAAGGTAATAAATGAGGTTAGAAAAGTAATAGGTTGCTCAATCTTGTAGGCCTTATAGGCCATTGTAAGGACTCTGGCTTTTACTCTGAGATTGGAAGCCACTGGAAGGTTTTGAAAAGAGTAGTTGTATGCCCTGAATTATATTTAACAGGATCAGTCTGGCTGCTGCATTGCAAAGAGATTGATGGGGGGCATAAAGAAAACTTGGAGACAGTATGCTCTTGTAATAACTCAGGCAAGGGCTAATTGTGGCTTGAACCAGAGTAACAGTGAGAGTGGAAAGAAGTAGTTGCATTCTGGATCTCTTGTAAAAGTAGAGCCAATGAGATTTGCTGACAGATTGGATGTGCAATGTGAGAGAAAGAGAGCAGTCAGTGATGACTGTTAAACTTTTGGGCCTCATCTGGAAAAGTGCAGTTGCCATTGACTGAGAGGGGCAAGACTGGAAGGAGGACATTTGGGGGGAAAATGAGATCAAGTTTGAAAATGAAGTTTGAGATATCTATTAGATATCCAAGTAGAGGTATTAAGTTGTATATAAGCTAAGAATTTGGTGGAAAACTTTGGGCTGGAGATAAAATGTGGAAGTTGACAGCAAATAAGTGGTATTGAAAAGCCAGGAGACAGGATGAGATCAGGGAATGTGTGTAAATAGAAAATGAGAAGTTCATACCATATGATCCAGCAGTCCCACTCTTGGGCATATATCTGGAGAAAGCCATAATTCAAAATATACATGTACCCCAATGTTCATTGCAGCACACTTTACAGTAGCCAAGACATGGAAGCATCCTAAGTGTCCAACAACAGAGAAATGGATAAAGAAGATGTGGTACGTATATACAATGGAATATTACTCAGCCATAAAAAGAATGAAATAATGCCATTTGCGGCAACATGGATAGACCTAGAGATTATGATACTAAGTGAAGTAAGTCAGAGAAAGACAAATATCATATGATATCGCTTATATGTCGAATCTAAAAAAATGGTACAAATGAACTTATTTACAAAACAGAAGTAGTGTCACAGATGTAAAAAACAAACTTATGGTTACCAAAGGTGAAAGGGGAGGGGGGAGGGATAAATTAGGAATTTGGGATTAACATATGCACACTACTATATATAAAATAGATAACCACTACTATATATAAAATAGATAATAGGACCTACTGTATAGCATAGAGAACTCTACTCAATATTCTATAATAACCTGTATGAGAAAAGAATCTATAAAAGAATGGATATATGTATATGTATAACTGATTCACTTTGCTGTACACCTGAAACTAACACAGCATTGTAAATCAGCTATACTCCAGTAAAAAAAAGAAAAGAAAAGAATTATAAAGAAAAAAAAGAAAGAAAATGAGAAATTCCAAGACTGACCCCTAGGCTATAACAGGGTTTAGAGACAATGAAGACAAAAAAGGAGCAGCCAGAAAAGTGGGAAATAAAAGAAAAAGTGTCAAGGAGGAAGAAGTGATCAACCATGTCAAATAAGGACGAAGAATTAATTCTTTGCTTTAAGAACAGGAAGTCACCGATCCTGACAAAAATAGTTCTGCAGAGTGTTAGGAACAAAAGCCTGATTAAAAAAAAAAAATAGCAAGAGAGAATTTGGAGAGAATAAGTATAGATAATGCTTATGAGGAGTTTATCTGTAAAAG